TTTCCCCCCACCGCCCCCCCTTGGGGGGGGGGGGGGGGCTAGACTGAGGATGATGTGGATTCCATTGCTGGCAGAGTCTAGTGCTGAACTAAGGGTACACAAGGAAGAAGTAACTGCTGAGATACAAGGGGGGGGAGGGGAGCCTAAGGCTTTGACATTGAGAACATTCAGAGTGGGAATGGTGTCAGGATATTACCTTTCCCCCTGTCCACAAGTTGTCACAGGGTGCAAGAAGACAACTCCACAACTCTTTTCTAGTTTCCCCTCCCTTTTAAAACATTTCTAGGGTACCAATGGAATGATGCAATATCAACTTGTCTAGTTTGACCCCGGTAATAATAATCATGATCGTCTTAGAACTGTAGAGCTGGAAGGGACCCTATGGGTTATTGAGCCCAGCCCTCGTCACGGAGGCCCCGTCGGGAATCGAACTCCCAACCTCTGGTTTTGTAGTCAGACAGACCTAAACTACGGAGCTCTCCAGCCGTTCTTATGTATGGCCTGTGATTCTGGGAATGTTCTTTTTGTGGGGTTTCCAAGAAGGAAGCTTTGGGAAAGGGATTTTTAAAAGTGGAAAAACTGGGGAGAGGTCTCAGAAGATTGAAGCAAGACTTACCTGTTTTTGCTGAATTAATTGCTATCCCTGGGACTGTGGTGAAAGTGGCAGGACTGCTGGTCAAGCCAGGAACTTCCAGGGGCCCACTGTGGACTACAGAGAATAGAAAGAATTTAAGGGGATTCTTTTTGCATGGCGATGATGGCATGCCAGCTAATTCCATCCACCAGCCCAAGGATCTGGAGTGGTGAATTTTGACTTTCCAGTTACGTCAGACTACAACTCACAAGATCCCTAATCATTGGCCATGCTAGCCAGGACATCTGGGATTTGTTTCCTAAACAAAGGTTTCCAACCCTGGTCTAAAGAGAAATAATTTAGCTCAATACTGTCAGCCTGGTTGATAGAGCTCTCCAGAACTTGTAGCCCAAAGCTTTCCCATCACGGTTGTCCAGACCATTATAGATGGATCTGTAGAAGCTTTGGGTGTGTACATGACTTCAATTAAGGAATCATTCAGGGGACATGAGGTACCCCCTCCTGGTAAACACCAGGTCTCTCCCTGCCCAACAGTTCCTTTCCAAAAAAGATAAAAAGACAACAGGAATTCTAGCCCACAAACTCCAATGCTGTATCTAGGTTAACTTGCTATGTCAGAAGACGTAGCATCATATTAATTAGAAATTACACTTGGGTACATTGTCTCATGTGTTAGAATAGGACCAGGTCATTTGTGCAGTGACGTCCCATGCTAAGATTTGTACAGAAACGGACATTTCCTAAGAAAGAGTCCTTACTTCCACTATCGCTGTAGGGGCGTAGAGCCTTCAGGCGGGCAGGCTGGCATCCCAACAGGGCTACTTTCAAAGCAATCCTCTGGTTCCAGTCCTTGGGTGTGACACGCAGGTAGCGGGCCAGGATCGGTGGGATGAAAGCATTGTAGACCGTTTGGTGACTGTTGCTGTTGCCTACAAAGATCTTTGAAAGATCAAAGAGTAAGAAGGATGAAGAAAGAGTAGCAGAGAGAACGTAATGGGGGACGTATTTGCGAAGGCTTTCACGGCTGGGATCTAATGGTTGTTGTGGGTTTTTCCGGCTCTTTGGCCGTATTCTGAAGGTTGTTCTTCCTGACGTTTCACCAGTCTGTGTGGCTGGTATCTTCAGAAGATGCCGGCCACAGAGACTGGGGAAACGTTAGGAAGAACAACCTTCAGAACATGGCCAAAGAGCCCGAAAAACCCACAATGACCGTAATGGGTGACCTTTCCTTTCTTCACAGACTCTCTCTCTTTCCTCCCCCTGGTCCAGACCTTTCTCCTTCCTTACCCCACTTCCCGTTTTCCTTTTGCATAAGAAAAAGTGCCAAACACAGAGATGGGTGAGAGGGAACTCGAGCAGCTGAAGCAAGAAACCAAGAAGGTGTAGTTCACACATGGTGAGGGGGTTGTCCCTGGCACCTCTGGTGGGTGGGCCACCTGCCCTCCCCACACCTCCCCCTGAGAGCTCAGGTGGAGCAGCCATTTGGGACTGTAGAGAAGGTGGGGAGAAGGGACGCCCAGGTGTCTTACAGGAAGCCTGGAGACATGCAACAGCTGACAGGATGGGAAGAGGGCCCATCAAGAGGGTTCAAGGAGGGCAGGGGCAAAGGCTCGGGGTCCCTTGCAGCCTGGGACCCCTGGCAAGGGCTTGGCCAAGGAAGGAGACCTGGGGACCTGCTGCCAGGGGAGCTGCGGACTGTCCCCTGGGCTACCGGAGAGCTGAGTTAGGAGTGGGATGACAACCCTTGGCAGACGCCGGCAAGTAGTATCCTGGTGGCTTGGGGCTGGGGCTGGGGAAGAGGGATGTCAATCAGCTCAGCCCCAGAAAAGGCTCCAGCCCTACCGGCTCTGTGGCATCCCAGATATCTAACACAACCTTGGGCCTCCAGATGTTCTTGGACTTCAACTCCCAGAAATCCTGGCCAGCAGAGGTGGTGGTGAAGACTTCTGGGAGTTGTAGTCCAAGAACAGCTGGAGGCCCAAGGTTGGGGGCCACTGGTCTAACAGGTCCTGTGGTGCCTACCCCAGCTCAACTAAGGTGCTGTTGGTGCAAACACTAACATGAGAGGAGCTGGAGGCTCACTGAAGAGCAGGAGGGACCACCTGTGCTTGTAAGCCAACTCTACCAGCCCTCATTGAAAGGCACCAAGCCTAAAGCCTAAGACTGGACTTACCTTGTTTATTACAAAGACTTCACTCGCTTCAGTGACATAAACTGAGGCCAGTAGGGAACTGGTGCAGGCAACTCACTCTCCAGGAGTGCGGGAGGAACTGCAATGGGTAACACCTGATCTAATAAAAAGCAATCTCACCAGCAAGCTACAGCTAGGTGAGAATTATTGGCGAGAGACCCCCAAGGCGGCCAATTCCATTAGAGGACGAGAGGGCAGAATTCACGTACGTCTGCTCCATGAAAATCAGAAACAAGCTATTGAAAACAGGAGGACAATGGTCTAATGCACTGGTTCTTAACCTTGGGTTACTCAGGAGTTTTGGACTGCAACTCCCAGAAGCCTTCACTACCAGCTGTCCTGGCTGGGGTTTCTGGGAGTTGCAGTTCAAAAACATCCAAGTAACAAAGGTTAAGAACCACTGGTCTAATGCAGCCTTTCCCAGCCTAGACTCCTTCAGCTCCGTTGGATCATGTCTCCAGCAGGAACCTGGCCGCAGCGGCTCTCCATCGCTTCCATCATCAGGTGTTTGATTCCAGCTCAGTCTCACCTTCTCCTCAGTAGCGCCACTGGATTTGTAGACTTTCCAGTTCTTGCCATCCCTGCTGGAGAGAATCTGGTAGGACTTCACGTAATAATTGTGCTGAGGAGATCCTTTGGTTATGATACCTGAAAGGCATAGATTTACATTTATACCTAGAACATCTGAACCACTGCCTGGTACTGACCACAGATGATCTGGATCTACCGGGTGATTTGCAACAGATTGGCAAACCTGGTTTATTACATGACAGCTTCCAGAATTCTCAACACACGCATACAGGTATGGTAAGATATATTGTCATTTTATTGATAGGAGGAGGAGGCAGCACGCAACCAATGGGTCGTCTGCAACTCCGAAGACAATTTTTGTGGCCCACCGGCCCACCAAACCATGCCAGCAAAGGATTCAATAGCAAACCACACATTTCAGCAGGAAGCTCAGAATACCCTTTTAAATGCAAGTAGAAAATGCCCGTTTTGAAGGTTCTCCTCCCCTCCCAAGTATGTTTGTTCCCAAATTTCAGTCGCTCAGTAGTGGAGGGAGAATGTGCAATCTGCCGCAGGGCCGTGAGGAAGAACACAGCCTCCAAGGTCCGACAAAGATGCTCACATCTAAGTGACTATTTCTAGATTTTACGGTAGGCATCTAAAATGGTAATTTGCAAATATTGTGCACTTTTGGGTCCTCTATTCCCAGGAATTCATTTCTTATTTTTTTAGTTTGCCATGCCGAAGTGCCCACCCTGTTTTCAGCTCAATCCATTTGAATATTTAACCATGTCTCCTCGCTCTGCCAAGCACCAGAGGCCATCTGATAGCTCCCCTTCCCTCTTCTGCTCCCTTCCTGCATTCCACTCAACCCCCAGCCACTGAGCCTCACAAAGCCTCCATTTTTCCTCACTAGCTGCAATCTGGGGTGGCTGCACAAAAGCCCCGATTTGTCTTCAGGCTTCTCGGAACAAAGAGTGAGTTTGCAGGAACATAATATTAAATTTGTTCCGTGGCGCAACAGCTGCCTTGGCCGGGCCTCGCTGTGTCCTTGCAGGAAAAGGCACAGAGAGGAGAAGGAGGAGTGAAGGAAAGGAAAGAAAGATGAATGGGTTGACGGAGGGAGGAAAGAAAGAGGGGAAGAGACAAGATACAGCTAGAAGAATGTGTACGGTTCCACACAGGGTAAAAGATCCTTTCTCAACTGAGCAGAGGCCGGAAAAGTCATTTTGTTCGGACGACAAGTCCCGGGATCCCTCAGCCAGCGTGAATTCTGGGAGATGCTAAGTAACTTTTAAAAGATTTGCAACAAAGAATGCTAGCACACTGTTAATTGGGTTCAGAGGAAAAAACTCAGTTGTGCAATCTGTACATTTTTACATGTAAGTAAGTCTCCCTGGACAGTAAGCATTTACTTTTTCATGGACAACCATCTAGATTTATTCAAATACAGTCATGTCATCTTCTTCTGGTTGCTTTACAAGTGTGGCAGGCAGAGTTTCACTTCACTGGGGCTTATTTTTGGGGTAGGGCTTATATTACGAGCATCCTCAACAATCCTACTATGTCTTATTTTGGGGGAAACAGGGTATATGCATGGATGCCCAAAGCCAGGCTTTGACTTCCCCTGTCCTTGGCCTGCTGCAGACCTGTGCTTAGGACCCTACTGAGATAAACATGTGGGTCAGGATTTACCTGGGTTTCAAGAAAGTCTCCCACCATTCTTTTAGACTACATTCTGACCTAGGTTTCAAGCTTTCATTTATTAAAAAAGAAAGAGTTATCTATGCTTTATAAAACTAGAGATATAAAAGATGCAGAATGTGATTATCTAATGGGTGAATCCATTTGCTTCGACAGGATCTTATACATATGGAAATCAGAGACTCCCGGTCTCTCAGTTACACTTGTGGAAAAGGCCACCATCAAACAGTGCCTAGAAAACAAGGAAGCTTTAAGAATGAAAGTTGACTGGGAGAAGCGTTACATTGGAGAAAGGAAAAGAAACAAAACAAAACAAAACAAAACAAACGGAAGGAAGGAAGGAAGGAAGGAAATTTATTAGAAGCTTATACATTTTTATTGTTGTTAAACTTATGGTAAGCTTATGGTTGCCATGCTTGGATAGTGTTTCCATACAATAACATGGAAATGTTACGGGCCTTTCTGAAGAACTAATTCTATATGTATTCAAAGATGCCCTTTGAACTGCTTACTCAGATATATGTTCTACTAAATTGAATGGGTTATATACCTCGGTAAATGTATGGAGGAGATCAATATAACTGTATACACTAAGAAGCATAGCTACAGTACCTTCTTGAAGTCCCAAACTCTCCAGCCAAAAAGGTCAGTGACGATTCTGGATGAGGAACTGTAAACTTTCCCTAGCTCTGTTATCATGGATCTCACTTCCAACTATTATAGATTCCATAGCAGTGAAACAAAATAGTAAACAGAGACCTTCATCACATTGGGGTTTAAGAAGGATTGTGGGAGAAGAAGTGGGCTTTTTAAATTTTTGCCCACCAGTGAAAACTGATGATAAAAAGGTACAACCGTTTAATAGGACCAGAAGCCCCAGTGAATGGCACAATATTTGTCATTTCTTTCTTTATACACACAAACAATGGCCACGGCCACTTAGCTTACCTCTCCCAACTTTATCCTGAGACCAACCTTGTAGGTTAGGTTTGGCTGAGATCGCAACTGGCCCAAGGATGCCAAGTAAGCACCTGGTCAAGCCGGTCCGAACTGCGGTCTCCCTGTTACAAGCCCAACACTCTAGCATTGTTATCTTAGATACCTGTTGGGTAAATTAAGCCAAGGTGGAAACCTACCGCTGGAAAAACACCCACAGCAGCTACTGTGCTTAGTCTGTAGCCTAAACGGATACTTACTGACCTGTGATGTTCCTCCTTCCTCCCAAGTCTGCTTCGAGCCACTCGTCTGCAGAGTTCTGATCTGCTGCCCAGGAGGCGCCATCTGCACCCAGAGCAGCTTGTTCAGCTGCCCAGACTTTATTTTGCCCCACGGCATCCTGTTCACGCCAACAGGACGAAGCATTGAAGCTAGCAATGTCTAGAGTCCCAGCACAAGCTGCAAAAAGGAAGCAGAGGCCTTTGTCAGTCAGAGGTCAGCCCCCACAGAGGCCACAAATCTGGACTCGAATTTGGGGTGGGGGACCTGAGTTGCAGAACTCACTGTCAAGTTGGACTTAAATTGAACCAATGACTCAACTTGAACTCTATTCATTCTCCCCCCAATGACTTAAAGTCAACTCACCACTTAGAATCCCCCCACCTTCCCCTTTTTCTTTTTTTTTGGGGGGGGAGAGCTTGTTTTTAATGGGGACTCAGATTTGGGACTTGGGACTCAAGACTTGAGACTCAGATCCAAAGACTTGCCAACATCCCTGGCTGTCATTAAAGTCTAATAAATCATTTGTTATCCAAGTCAGGAGAGAGATCCTTGTGAGATGTTCTGCCTTGGGCACCATAAATAACTGAGTTGGCTTCAGGTCTTATAGGTATCTATAATACTCTCCAAAGTTACTGACAAATCACTTTGCAGAGTAAAAGGGACACACTATCTGTTACTGTGGCCTTGGGCAAGAAAATGGGCTGGGTCAGCCCTGCAAATTGTGAGGATTTCCCTCTTTGTTACAGAAATGGTGTCGAGGTACAGAAAAAATGGTGGTGCCCTCAAAGAGTAACATGGGAAGAAGACCAGTTCCCTATTGGACCGTTTGGATGTGTTACGACACATGTTTTCATGAGGTACCCTTTAGGTGCTAGGTCAACCATGGCCGTTTGTGGCCCTGTAGATATCCTAAGACTGAAACACCCATCAGCCCATGGGGAGGCATAACAGGATGCTGCAGCATCTGGAACAACACACATCTGCCAGACCTGGCCACCCTTGGCTAGTGTCCATTCCATCAGCCACATGTTCTCTCTCTCTCTCTCTCTCTCACACACACACACACACTTCCTTAAAAGTGGAAAAACATCTCTTCTGCCTCCTTTTGAGGCAGCAACTACCTTGACAAATAATGTTGGAAATGCTCTGGAATTGGGACAATCTGATTTGTATTATTTTCAGTTGACCATGTGATGCACAAGGTAATGTCAGTCCACCAAGTGTTTCCCCTCCAAGCTGCACTTTCCCCTTCAGCTGCTGAGCCTTCTGCTTCCCCCCCACACCCAACTGAATGTATTCACATTGGTTCCAATGTGTGATTGTTTGAGACAATGCTGCATGGGCATTCAGAAGCTGGCTATCTCTAATTCCTAGTTCAAGGTGAGGAGAGAGCCAAGGGGCACATGTTGGGGTGTCAGTTCCCCTCAACGGAGCACCCCTTGTATCCAAACTTTGGACTTAGAGCAAGTGTTGGTGCACTAGGGCAGTTGGAGACCAAAAAGGGGAAAATCAGAGGAGTCAGCAGAGAGTAAAGAGGAAGTTGTTTATTAAGTTCACTCTTGGCAGCTTGTTAAGGTAGCTCTCATTTAACCCTGCCTTCTGCAAATCTGGAGGGACACTGAAGAACTACCTTAACAAACTGCAAACAAGAAGGATTGCCAACTTCTCTCTCTTCCTCCTGACTCTAAATCAAATCACTCTGTTTCTGTATCATCTTCAATAGTTACCAGTTCATTTCTGGGTTGAGCTGAGAGAGCTGTCCATGACCTATAAAATCCTAAATAGTCTGAGACCAAATTATCTTAAGAGCTATCTGCTCCCGTTCAAACTTGTCCAAATTTTGAGAGCAATAGCTAATAGCCATTCTCTGTTCTGTCACGAACCAGGTGGCAGACATAAAAAGCAGGGCCTCCTGTGTGGATGTAAATCAGACTGTGAGCATATCATTTCATGGTAGATTTAGCCTGCTCCCTCATTGATTGATTTTCAGAGGGCAGTCAAAAAACTCAAGAAGCAGTTGTTGGCAAAGTGAATGCGATTTGTTGATGTTCCCAGCGGTTTTTAATGGGACAATCTGATTTGTATTATTTTCAGTGGACCACATGATGCACAAGGCAATGTCAATCCGCCAAGTGTTTCCCCTCCAAGCTGTACTTTCCCCTTCAGCTGCTGGGCCTTCTGCTTCCCGCCCCCCTCATTGAATGCATTCACATTGGTTCCAGTGTGTGATTGTTTGAGCCAATGCTGGATGGGCATTCAGAAGCTGGCTCTCTCAGATTCCTAGTTCAAGGTGAGGAGAGAGCCATGTTGCTCTTTCCTCTAAAAAGTGGAGTATAGCGTCTTCAAAACAAGCAAACAAACACACAAAGTGATACAATAAATACCTTTGTGAAAGAGGAGGCGCTTTTCAGATAAAGACCCCCTGTTTAAAATGAAACAAACGAAAGAAAGTTAGGATTAGGGTGCTATGGGTGCTAAAACAGATCTGATTCAGGGAGTCCACGATCAAACCTTACTTCTGAGAAGACATGACATGTATAGAATTATGCCAAGTGCAAGCTTCCAGATATGATCAGACAGTGCTACAAATTCCAGAATGGCCATACTGACTGGAGGTTTCTGGGAGTTCCAGTCCAAAGCATTATTTGTCCAAGCTATAATCCATCCTAAAGATGCTCGAACTTTTTACCTACAATTTATCATACATGCAAAATGTACTTTTCGGTCCAGTAGATGAGAATTAAAAGAAGACAAGCAAATATGAGCTAGTTTGGCTGATTCAGAGAATAAAGTTCCCAAACAAGAAAAAAGAAAGATGATCAGGTGTCTAGCTTGTTTAGTGGGTGCAGAAGTTTCTCAGTTTGGAAGCCGTTTATCCAGTGGTGCTTTTAAAATATATATATATTGCATTTCTACTACTGGAACATTTCCTATCTCTGGGCTTTTGCAACCCAGTCAAGCGACCGGATAGTCAAAGCTATGGTTTTTCCAGTAGCGATGTATGGAAGTGAGCGTTGTACCATAAAGAAGGCTGACCGCCAAAGAACTGATGCTGTTTGAATTGTGGTGCTGGAGGAGGCTCTTGAGAGTCCCCTGGACTGCAAGGAAATCAAACCTATCCGTTCTGAAGGAAATCAACCCTGAGTGCTCACTGGAAGGACAGATCCTGAAGCTGAGGCTCCAATACTTTGGCCATCTCATGAGAAGAGAAGACTCCCTGGAAAAGACCCTGATGTTGGGAAAGGGTGAAGGCAAGAGGAGAAGGGGATGACAGAGGATGAGATGGTTGGACAGTGTCATCGAGGTGACCAACATGAATTTGACCCAATTCCAGGAGGCAGTGGAAGACAGGAGGGCCTGGCGTGCTCTGGTCCATGGGGTCACGAAGAGTCGGACATGAGTTAACAACAAAACAACAACAACAAGCAACCCACCTTTTGGAGTGTAGTCCATTGGCATAAGCTGACTCATAGAGAGAGATCCCTTTTCCTTGTGACACAGTGATCTCTCCTCCTTGTTCATCTAGGATCATGCCAGCATGGACAGCGGCTTTGCAGAGGACTGACGTCTACAGAGGGAAAATATATGAGACAGTGAAAGACAACAACAACAAATGTGACAAACATTTAGGCAATTAAAACCCAGTGGGAAGAATGGAACCGAGAACAGGCAAGTATTTGGCACACGAGTTTTCTTGAGTTTTGCTTATCGTGCAATCTATTGGTAATTATTATTAATTTGTATCAGGACACACTTCTTTGTCGTACACTCCCCCAGTCCAATTAGAACACCATATCAATATTTTTTATTATCAATTATTTATTATTTATATAAAATACTTTTATCCCGCCTTTCTCCTTAAAAAGGACCCTTAAAAAGACAATATTTAAAAACTAAAACAGTAAGTGTCCAAACATTTAAAGAGTTTTAAAAAACAATTAAACAAGTATTAAAAATGGCAAATAAAATTAATACTAAAACTCCTTTAAAACAACAGAGCACAACAGTCCATTTAAAAAACCCTTTCAGACAACCGGTCATTAAGGAGAAGCCTGCCTGTCTTTGCAGGAAAGGTCTTTGTCTGCTTGTGGAAGGAAAACAAAGATGGGGCCAGCCTAGCTTCCTGTGGGAGGGAGTTCCAGAGTCTGGGAGCAGCCACAGAGAAGGCCCTCTCTTGATGACCTCCTGAAGGTGGCGGGACCAAGAGAAAAGCTTCTCCTGATGATCTTAAAGCCTGGGCAGGCTCATGGAGGGAGATGCGGACTTCTGAGATAGCTTGGACTCAAGCCATTTAGGGTTTTATAGGTTAAAACCAGAACTTTGAATTGTGCCCAGAAACGGAGCAGCAGCCAGAGGAGCTGCCGTTAACAGAAAGGTTATGCGATCTCTGTAAGCAGCCCCAGTTAGCAATCTGGCTGCAGAATTTTTTGGATCCTCTGAAGTTTCCAAACACAAGCCGACACAGAATGCATTACAGTAATCCAGCCAAGATGCAAGTAGGGCATGGGTCACCATGGCCAAATCGGATTAATCAGAGTAAATTACATTGATTAAATAAACGAAAGATTAAGATGGGTTATCCATTGTAAGAACCTGTTTGACAACAAGAGCGATGCTGCACAACTCACATCTCGGTAGCCTTGGTCCACGTTGCCCCAGATGTCTCCTGTCACATCCTTGCAGCCTGCAGGGCAATAAGCTCTACAACAAGATGAAAGAGACCAAATGTAAGACCCTTCTCTCCCTCCTTCCCTCCCTCTCTGAGGTGGAAACAAGTCTGTATGCTATTTACTGTTTATATTATTGTATATTTTCAGGATACCTTTCCCTATGTCATAATTTCCCAGTGACAGTAACCCACTCAAAGACTCTCACCATCAATCCCAACTGTGAACAAAGCTAAGCTACCCATGAGGTGGAAGTCAGTCATAATGGGAAATTATGGAAAAGCAAACCATGAAGTGGCTCAGAATCCACCAATTTAACAAATGAAACATTTTTAAGTTTGACACAATGTTGATTAAAATACTGGAGATATAGGCCCCCAAATACAGACACTGGGGAAAAAACTGAAGTACATTCCTAAATGACATATAGTCTAAGGTCATGACTGCAAACCTGTAGTTCGAAAGTGGTCCTCCAGACGATGTTAGACTACAACTGCTGTCAGCTGCAACCAGCAGATCCATTAGTGGGGCATGACAGTAAATGCACATAGACTTCATCTGAAGGGCAACGCATCCCCTATTCTTGTTCAGGTAGAACCCAGGGTACAATGGTTGCAGTAATATTTAGAGGCAAGGAGAGCAGATGCACATAGGAAACACCCACCTGATTAGTTCCTTGTCATAATGGATACCCTTCTTCAAACATGAGATCAGACCTAAAAGACAGAGGGGATAAGAGATCTAAACGCCCCACTGGGGAAGAGATCTTGGGTCCCTACAGCAAGCCCATTGTCGCCATCCTGGTGATTAAGGCACTCTGCTGAGTGAACTGTCCACCTGCCCTGTCTTCATCTGCATCACAATGTTTCTGCAACCCAGAAGCAGCTCGCTTTTGCTCTGAGTAAGCCAGAGCCCAAGCTATCCTGCAGAGGTGAACCCAATTGATTTTTTTTTTCACCAAAGAAACAAATATTTGTTTCACTTTGGGATGTAAAAATGCCCAGAGTAGTGCTTATTACCAATTAGTGTGGTATGGAAGTTAAATGAACAAAAGAAAGAATGAGCGAGTGAGCGAGCGAGCAAACAAGCAAGCAAGCAAGCAAGCAAGCAAGCAAATAAATAAATAAATGTTGGAAAAATCAAGTGAGCAAGCAAGCAAGCAAGCAAGCAAATGTTGGAAAAATCAAGAATAGCAGTTTATAGAAGTTTCTTGAAAAAAGAAACAGGACCACCCAGATAAATCATTTGGAGTACAATTCCAGGAATCCAGAGCCATCTAGCGCTGGGATTTTGAGAACTCCAAACAAGTAATTTAAAAATAAATAAATCGGAGTTCAGTACCACTGTTAGGCAGAGTGAGCTGATTGCCTCAGATAGCATAGAAAATCATGGTAACCTTCTCTTGAAGGCGATCACCTTCACGGCAATCATCTCTTGAGCTTCTCACAACTCATCCTGCTCCCCCAAGTCTGATAGTCTGACATCTCCTTTGTACTGGAGGACACTCTCATAACTGTCAGTGAAACAAGATCCAGTTGCCCATCCAACTAGCCTTTGCAAATGGAATGGATTTGCAGTTGCTTCAGGCTGCAAATCTTCTTTGGCCAGACCTGGAAGGAAGCGGTTCTGCCAACATCCAGGCCATTTCTGGTGCCTTCAGCAAAAGATACTGGAGTGTACTTTCGACTACCTTGGCAAAGGGGAAGGGGGGCAAAGCATCCTGCTTCAGGGTTACAGAACACAATGGGTTTAAGAGGAGTGCACACAACCATCCCCAAGCTGGCATTCTCAGATATGTTGGGCTACAGATCTGGCCAGGATAGGTGAAGGCCAGCAACAGATGCTCTTCTTAGAAACCTGCCTACCAGCCTCTCAATGCACAAGGCCCAGTTCTCTTTCATATAATGGCACACTCTGATTCGCAGACCTTTTTCTTTACTCTGCACGTGACTTTTATGAGTGATCTCATTAACTTAATCTTCTTCCAAACTAAAAAGCCCCATGTATCTCAGGCACGGATATATAATGGCTCATTCATCCCATTTGTTCCCGCCTAGTTCCTGTCCCATACCAAGGAATTCCTCAGATAAAGGGGCCGGTAAAAATGACCTGGTTTTCTGGACTGGGGAGTGAGATTAAATTCTGTTTGGCTTCCTTTTTAATTGCAGGTGTTTTTGAAATCGCCTGTACATTTTTAGAACTGTGGGGCAGAGAACAAGGAGACGGGGGTAGCTCATTTGAATGAGTGGGTCAGGCTCGGAAGCATCCTTCCCTCACTCCATTCCAAAACTCTCCAAAATAAAATTCTGGTGAATTTAAGGCAGAAGCTGATTGTGCAGGGCATTGCTAGATTTCCAGTGTTACCAAGAATCATCATGTACCACAAATGTATGTAATTAACAAAAAGATTATTGTTCACGTAGCCTTCAAAAAAATGGACAAGATGTTCTCCCTGCAGAATTAGTCATGTAGCAGGACTGATTTATGGGTTAATGTTCAACTCTGTGATATGCTATTCTAGAAGACCTTAAAGGGTGGAAGATTTATTGTTATTGATTTAGTGGTTGCATTTTTATCCTGCCTTTCCTCCTGTGAACTCAATGGCTCGTGTGCTCTGCAGTTTTTGCTAACAATGACCCTATGATGCAGCTGAGGCTGAGAGACAGACAGATCACCCAGAGATATCTGACAAAAGATAAAAGAACCAAAAATCAAGAGTCAAAAATGTGGCGGCACTTTAAAGACTAACTGTGATACTTTGATGTGAGCTTTCATGGATCAAGCCCACTTCCTCAGACATAAAAGTGAGACATGTAGGACTGTCGTATTTACACATGCCCCCCATGACCAGTTGGGGATACAGATAGTGGACAAAGTGACAGTGATTCATTAGTTTTTTAAAAAAAGGCTTTCAGGCTGTGAATATGATTATATTATTGTTACCTTTTTGGACAAAGTGACAGTGATTCATTAGTAAAAAAAAAAAAAAGGCTTTCAGGCTGTGAATGATTATATTATTGTTATCTTTCTAGACTGATAATTGAAATTCACAGATATTGTATTGTTTTACTAAAGAACCATTGACACTCTGTCCATTATCTGTGTCCCCACCTGGTCATGGGGGACATGTGTAAATATGACAGTTGTACACTTCTCCCTTTTATATCTGAGGAAGTGAGCTCGATCCATAAAGGTAAAGGTTCCGCTTGACATTTAGTCCAGTCATGTCTGACTCTAGGGTGTGATGCTCATCCCCGTCTCCAAGCCGTAGAGCCAGCGTTTGTCTGAAGACAGTTTCTGTGGTCACGTGGCCAGCGCGACTAGACACAGAACACCGTTACCTTCCCACCATGGTGGTACCTGTTTCTCTACTTGCATTTACATGCTTTCAAACTGCTAGGTTGGCAGGAGCCGGGATAAGCGAATGGAGCTCCCTCCATCGCGTGGATTCAATCTTACAACTGCTGGTCTTCTGACCTTGCAGCACAGAGGCTTCTGCAGTTTAACCTCCAGCTCCACCGCGTCCCTTTCGATCCATGAAAGTTCCCACCAAAATACCACAGGTAGCCTTTAAAGTGCCGCCACATTTTGGTCTCATTTTTTTCTTTTGTTTTCTTTCCACAGACTTACATGGATTCTTCCCCATCCCTCAGTGAATTTCTTTTCTCAACAAAAAGATCCCAAGTGCCAGAGCACTCCTTCAGTGGCTCGTGTATACCTTTTTGTGCCATATTTTAACTACTGCACCCCATGGACACTAGTCTGAAATAGTTTATTTCCATGGGCCTCCTCTACCTGGCTGGTTACCACTGGTGTAAGACAGGAGAAAGCCGCGGCCAGAGTGATGTGTCGTGCTGTTGAACAAGATGGTTACTGAGGTGGAGTTCATCACCAAGGCTGCCTGTGGTGGATTTGAGTTGCCGCAGTATGGGCCTGGATTGGAAGGGCAGGATGGGGTGGGGGTTGGGGATAGAAAGAGAGAGAGAGAGAAATTGGTATTTATATATTCATTTGTTACATTTACAATCTGCCTTTTCCCCAAGGAACTCAAAGTAGTACACATGTATTCTTGAATACTTTCATGGCTGTAGCACAGAGGCTGTTGTGGGTTTTCCAGGCTCTTTGGTCATGTTCTTAAGGTCTTCAACAAAAAAGAAGAAAGTTTAAAACTCAACAAAGCCTGGCTCCCAGCACTGAAAAATACAGCCTGCAAAAGGTCAACAAACTCTACCCAGCCACAAGGACTGGTGATCACTCCACACAAAAGACCAGCTAACGACACCCACCAGTCACAGTGACAGATAATCTCTCCCCCTTATCACAACAATACAGCCACAACAAAAAATACACTGATCCCCATAATCACCCAATCTCCTGAAAAGGACAAAAAGTTGATCCCACAGCTATAAACACTCAACTGTCCAAACAAACTGCAACAGAGCACAGACAGAGTTCTGAGTCCTGTCCTCTGAAGAGGCCGGCCACAGAGATTGGCGAAACGTTAGGAAGAAAAACCTTAAGAACACGGCCAAACAGCCCGGAAAACCCACAACAACCATTGTAGTATATATGACTTCTCTCCTTCCCACTTTATCTTCACAATAACCCTGCAAGGTAGGTTAGGTTGAGAGAGAATGACTGGCTCGAAGTGTTGTCAGTGACAGAGGATATGATTTGCAGATCTCAGATGAAGTCCTCAGTACCTTTGGACAGAGCTGGAGAAACTCCTGCCTGAAAACTCAGAGACCTGATGCCAGGCAATAGTGACAATATCGTGCTAAGTGGACCAACGGCCTCACTCCGTATGTGGCAGCTTCTTATCTTCCAAGGGAGCTCAGCAGCATTTGAATTGGGATCTCCTAAGATTCCATCCAGCCCTTCTCACCACTAAGCAGCATTTGCTCACATAGATCAGGTTGAGCAGGCTTGGAGGCCCTTGGGCTGAACCTGCCTGATTCCCCCTTCTCCTGACATCCTTGGCAGGCTACATATCTACTTCAGGGGGTAGATGCATAGCCTGCGTAGCCGTTGGTCTCCTTCAGGGGGAGGAAACATGGTTCAGGTGCAAACATACTTTGTGTCACTTTGTACGTTCCCAACGTCTCCATTTTCCAGAGGAGGAGGACGAGGAAGAAGAAGAAGAAGAATTTTTAACCATGGGGGCTCAGGGTAAGTCCCCAAGGTATGAAAACAGCACTGGAGGGCCACACAGTTCACACCCAATAGGAACATAGGGAGCTGAGTTATAATAAGCCAGACTGTTTTCCATCTGATCCAATATGCTTGACGGATTGACAGCAAGTCTTCACCTTTTCAGGCAGGATTCTTCTTCCTAGCCCTTTCTTGAAATCCCTGGTGGGTCAGGTAACATCCTCTACAAGTACTAACCATGTCTGACCACACCTTGCTACCAAAATCAGATGGGATAAGCTGTGCTTGGGTGATGTGGTGGTTTTATGTTCTCTACACACTCTTAAAGGTAAAGGTTCCCCTTGACATTTAGTCCAGTCGTGTCCGACCCTAGGGTACGGTGCTCATCCCTGTTTCCAAGCCGCAGAGACAGTGTTTGTCCATAGACAGTTTCCATGGTCACGTGGCCAGCGTGACTAAAGACACAGAACACCGTTACCTTCCCACCGAAGTGGTACCTATTTATCTACTTGCATTTTTACATGCTTTCGAACTGCTGGGTTGGCGGGAGCTGGGACAAGCGACGGGAGCTCACTCTGTCACGTGGATTCGATTTTACGACGGCTGGTCTTCTGACCTTGCAGCACAGAGGCTTCTGCGGTTTAACCCACAGCACCACCATGTCCCTTTACACACTCTTCTTTGGAAGAAACTGCGATGGCTTCAGTTGTGTTTCCATGGAAGCTAAAAGATTTAGACTTGTGCTGTTAGCCTCACCAAAGGACAACATTTTTTCCTGGATGAGTGGTTACAATGTAGAGAGCATGCATTTTCTGTTCCATGCAACCGTGATTTTAATTGCCCTTAAGGATGCAATTACTGTAAAGAGCCTCCAAGTCCTTTCTCCCTCTCTGCTCAGAAGAAAAAAAAGAAAAGAAAATGCTCAAAGATGAATCCTCCATGCTTTCAGCTACATAATCCAAATTAAGTTGCAATCTCCCTCTCCCAGTTAAGGCCACGACTCAACTAATAGACAGATTTGCCCTGGCACGTGGTGGGAAGTGTATGATCAAGAAGTCCTGTTTTCCAAGGACCAAAAGATTTCCACCCTTGCTCTCTTTCCCCACCCCACCCCTGCACTCCCAAGCCCCAGTGGCACAGAGGCCAAGAACTGTTCTAAGCTACCCTTTTTTCTTCCAAAGCTCCAGCTACTGTTTCCAATGTCAGCCTGTGCTGTACAGCTGCATGGCTGGCATCAAGCTCTGACATTTTGGGGAGCTCTCCCCAAGATCCGTCCTCCATTGGAGGACGGATCCACAACAGATCTCTAGAACTTTACTTAGTCTGATTGTTGTGCCTCAACTTTCATCATCGCCCCATGCATGGGCAGCCAGGGCGTTCTTTGACAAAGAACTACACTTCCTATAAGCTTACAAGAGTTCAAGTCTCCTTTTTTAGTGCCCCCAAAATAGGGCTGGATGTGACCCGTCCTTGACCTACATCGCCTTAAACAGCCTTCCTCTGCTTGCTGTCTTTCAAATGCATTGGATCCCAGTGTTCCCAGTTGGCTGGAGATTATGGGATTGGAATCCAACGCATAGGGAAGACGGAAACTTCGGGAAGGTTGAAAAGATCTTGGCCCTTTCATGTTCTCATGAATCATCACAACTGGAATGTTCCGGTCTCCGTGGATGGTCTGGTTTCCAGTAAAGGCCTACATTTGGTGGGGGCCGGGGTGTAGCAGTGGCGCAAGGAAGAACTGCACTACTTTTCGCTCTTTCTTCCTCTCTCTGTCCAGTCTTGCTTTATAGCTGACTGGTGGCATATGACACATCTCGCTTGTTCAACACCAGATGTTACACAGGCAGTGCTGACATTTCTGGTATGCCAGTAGGGCTCCGACTGTAGGAGGATGTGTGGAAATCTGCTGACTCAAAGCCAAAGCTCCAACTCAAGGAAGATAAGAAAATAAGCAAAACATCCCCAACCAAATCAAGGAACACCTCCCCCCCTCTGTGTATGTATGTGCGCACACATACGCATGCACCATAAACAGGGCTTGGAATAGTGACCGTCTGAATCCCTCAGCCAGCATGGCCTGTGGCTGGGGGATTCTGGGAGTGATGTTCCAAAAAGGTAACTTTTCCAAGCCCTAAGGTGGATGCTGGATACAACCATTCTCTAGGTGTGCAATACGGCACATGCAGTCCTATGCAAACCAGTGGCCTCTTTGAGCCTGTTCTTGGATGACATATTTCCTCCCCCACCCCCAGCAATGCATAAGCAGCCAACCTCCTGTTCTTGGATGACATATTTCCTCCCCCCCCCCACCACCAGCAATGCACGATAAAGTCCTATTGTTTGCTCTGAAACCATAGATTTCACGCTAACAGTAAAATTTCCTTGCATTCCTGATATGGATGTTTCCTGGCTGACAGCAGGTCTATAGACACATTTTGCCAAAAAGAAATAAGAAAAGAAAAAGACCGCACGAAACAGTGGGAAAATAGTTGAGAAATGACCCTGGGCCAAAATGTATAATACTGATGCGTCACTGATTAAGCAGCAGCAAAACTACAGCTGAGTCAGACTGAGCCATCCCCCACATCCTCATGTCACTGTTTAGTAAAGAGCTTCAAACTCCTGCCCACCAACCTCCCAGGATAACTCGGCACACAGGATTCTATGGGAGTGACCGAGATCCCTCCTAAATGCCAAGCAGAATCCATCCTGTCCTTAGCCACCTCCGCCACTTAACAAATGTGCGTGATTCCATTTCCATCGGCCCTCTGGCGTGGTCCTTCTCGGTGAATGATTCCAAAAGAAGATTGGCAAACTGATGGAGAGAGATGAAGGAGGGTAGAAAAGAAACAACAGTCTCAAACCTTAAAGAAGTAGGATGTGGGACAAGCGTCGGTCGATGCTGGCTGACATTCTTCGGCAGAGCTTGAAAACGTTGCTTTTTGGACAACAGATCCCACAATGCCACTAGAGGATACTGGAAATTATGACCCCAATGTGTAACATTTCCCAGTTGTCATTTGGACAATTCGTTTTAAAAAAATAGTTACAGTTATAGTTGAAAGACCATGTAAAGTAGTAAGATAGAAGCGTAGTTGCAAAATTTTTAAAAGAAAATTTCAATTTTTACAAATAATGAAAATAGTTAATTATGAGCGCTACAAGCTGATGGTATGTCTAGACATAAAACACACTGTCCTTCTGTCTGACATGTTGTCATCTCATCCCCACAACACAACACCAGGCAGTGGCATCAGGCAGAATGCAAATCAGCACTTGAACCACATATTATTCCTCTTTATCCTTAAATAAGGTCACATTCCTATAAGTTTAAATGAAACTAAAAGTTACAGTTCCACTGCGGAAGAAGTAGGTTTATTCTTATTAAGTTACAAATGTAATCCAATGTAACTATTAACTTTATTATTGGAGAAAAGGAATCAGTTACAACTAAGTAGTTACTTTTAAGCACTTTTTCCCCTAATACCTTCCTTGTTGTGTCTCTCCTTTCTTTTGATGTTTTCCCACTATTTTTTTCCTAGTAATTTGGGCAGGAATCTTTCCGAAACCAGCTAGAGATGCTGAGACTGAATGGAGGACCTAAGCTCTGCCACTGAATTCTCTCCATCGATAGGAAGCCACAGAAATTCTGTACCTGTATGATACATGTGTTTGCATATAAGTGTTTGTTGCATTCAGTATGTCTGCTGTAACTAACTAACTAATAAATAAATAATAGTAGTATGTACATCCTCCCTGCTTTCCAGGGAGCTCAAGATGGCATACATGGCTTTATCCCTTTCCCACTTTAGTTTCACAACAACGTTGTCAGGTTGAAAGAAAATGGGTAACTGGTCCTTGGTGGGGACTTGAACCCAAATCTCCCAAATCACAGTCCAATATTTCAACTGCTATACCACACTGGCTGCCTATGCTACTAGGTGGGAGACTGTAATAAAGCAGCCACAATAAATGTTTTTAAACAGCATGGCTTATTTTTGCAATTTCGTGATATAAACAGCCAAAAGTGGGACCATTGAAGCTCAGCATGAAATCTGGAGCTTCCCCCACTGAAGCCTGAAATGGTGCCACTGGTGCAGATCAACAAATTCAGATCTACACTACTCATGATGTTAAATTTCAGGCCATTCCATACCTCTCTCATGTTTTTCCCCATTAACAGGGGTAATGCAATACCAGGGATGGGCAATGTGAGGTCTGTGGACTGCATGAGACCCCTTAGGTTAAAAATCACAAAGCAACAAGAAAGCAAAATATTGGGTGAAGATGTTCTTCTCTCCACAATGGTCACTGTAGCAGCATAAAGGCTAAAATCCTGTTGCATATTTTTGCAAATGACATAGCTTTTAAATGCAAATTGCCATAAGTTAAAAAATCTCCATAGACTTAGCATGCGGCTGATAAAGTCTATGAAAATTTCTTAATTTACAGCAATTTGCATCTAATAGATATAGTGTTGGCATAACTGCACAACAAGACTTCAGGCAAACTTTTATTTGGTGACTTAATAAAGCCATCAGTCTACTGTTGTACAGAGTCTGATTTTGTTCGTTCCAGGAAATGTAGCATCATGACGGGGTTAAAAGGATACCATCTGTCCCAACTAGAAAATGAGAGCACTGCATCCGACAGCTGATCTCTGAGGCACAGAGTTGGTGCCAGAAAGTCAGTGCATGTAGAAAGTCATTGAAAGTCACTGTTTCATGCTCCACTTTAAAAATAGTCATAATTACAAAACTTCGGACACACATGTGCATTGCTATAAGCTCGGATGTAGTTTGTGTGGAGGGCTTCAGTGCAACGATATAGATAAGAAGTAGAACAAGAAAAATCTAGAGTTTTTCATATTTCCACATACCCGAGGTAAACCACAAGGAATTGCAAGGAGCAAATGTGCATATGTATTCCCATCCATTAAATGTTTGCCTGATGAGCAGCGAGAGATTTAATGAATTAAAATGAGATGAAAAGACTTGAGCAACAGATACTAAAAAGGGAGTTGGAAGAAGGAAACCGGGAAGACTTCTGGAAATATTTTCCAAGGAAACAGCGTGTGCCAGAAGTGACAGGGACAGAGGGAAGGGGTAAAGGATCAATAAGCCCCACCCTGTCCCTTTGCCAAGAGAGAGAACTAAATACAGTATAGGGTGCAGCAAGGAAAGGACGTCAATGCAAGGAATGAGTAAAGTGACAAACCGGGAGGATGTCAAAGACAAGACCCCTTTGTGCTCCTCTCAAGTGATGTAACAGGGTCTGCAAAGACTGTTTATCCCCGAGCCCCCGCTTCATCTTCATAACCACAGAAACCAACTACTTTAGTAGAGGGCTGGATGAATCTGCCATTTTTCCTTCTCCAACATGAAAAAGGTCCTTGTATTCATTGTCCTCCTTATTTCAGTGACTGTAGCTGGCTGAATAGCTCAGTGAATTAAACATCTGGCTATAAAGCCACAGGTTGGGAGTTTGATTCCTCCCGGGGCCTCTAGGGGGGAAGAGCCAGCCTGTGTGTCCTTGGGCAAGCTGTACAGTCCCAGGACGCCCCCTAGAGGAAGGGAAGGGGAAACGACCTCTGAATACTTTCCACCCCGAAAACTCTTAAAAAGGTCACCATAAGTTAGAATTGACTTGACAGCACGTTGTTGTTTTTGTTATTTATTTATTTATTTATTTATTTATTTATTTATTTATTTATTTATTTA